CCTATCAAATGGGATGGGAATTAGGGAGGAGCACAACTAAAACTTAAACATTCTGTAGTAATACGTACTCCACTAGAGGATTGAGAAGAAATGAAGTCATTATTTCCAGGATTATACAAACAAGCCCGATCTTATTTGCTCCCAGTAGCTTCATCCGTTCCACGCGAGAGACTTTTCCAAAGCTGGAAATACTGTTTCAAAAAACCGAAATCGCCTCCTTGGGAAACATTTAGAAAAACTAATATTTCTCGGAAACATTAAAAAAGAAGATTTTTTCAAACGAATTATTTAAACTTTTTTAAATAAATGTATATGAACTTCTCAATATTTAAAAAATGTCACTCAATCTTTTTTTCGAAAGTTATTGTACGTATACATATATTGCCTTGCAAGAATCACTATCTTTTATGTTTATGTATATATAGAACGTATATAAATTAGTAAAAAAATGTGCATATGTACATATATAAATTTGTTTCTTTTAGTGGAAAAATGAGTAAATACAAGTATATACTCGATACTTTTTGGTTGGTATCGGTCTGGTATCGATACTTAAAAGATAAAATACTTCCAAGTAAAAGTATCGATACCGAAGGGGTATCGGCACATCCCTACCCTTCACAGGCATTGCACCTGACCACAGTATCCCTGCAAAAATCGCGACTACTCCATGCATGCGTGTAAAGAGTACTCCCTAAGGACCAAAGAGTACTCCAAAATTAACCACAATTCATATAAAAAATATGGTCCAATTAACATTGCGATGTCCTAGGGCAGGACCATATACTCCATCCCTGCATTACATCAGAGTAGCACAAAACTACTCCAACATATTAACAATGGCATTGTTGTTATATTTTTTCGTTTGTACACGCTTTTGTTCTTCACTTCTCATCGTAGTCCGAGTTTTCGTGAAATCTACGAAAATGCTATTAAGTTCGAATAGCTACGAACGCAGCGCTTGCTTTGAATACACACGTTCATAGTAGTTCAGATTCAGTGATCGCTTTTTCGTAGATTTTAAGAAAAATTGGACTACGATGGATTCCGCCACCAATATGTTTTCTCCTTTGACAAGATGTTGGAGAATCACGGCAGCACAGCCGTATACCTACTCTATGCTCTTACGCGCATATGCTAAATTTCTCGCACCTAGCTAAAGTGCTTGACAAAGGCAGAAGGCATATCTTCAACATTATAACTTAAAGTAAAAAAGTTTAAGGCATGCAATAAAAGCATCAACAGAACCAAAAAATGTTCTCAAAACTATTAAACATAACAAATTGCACGAATAAAATTCATAATTTAAAATAAAATATCGCAATTGTTTTTTATATGTACATACATATTTACAAAATGAATCTTAAAGCACCCACAGTAAGTCCTAAACATATAAATGACTAATAAGAAAAATAATAAATAACAGTAATATGAAAAAGTATGTCGAGAAATCTCTAAATAGTAGCGAAACTGTATCTCAATAATAACAAAGAATTTTAAGCAAAAAATACAACCGACTTTAATGCGCATTCAGGTCGTTCTGGTTACGTAGATCCGACTGTCCTCCCTTTTTTTTAAATCGTTAAAAAAAATTAATACGTATTCTACAGAAAAAAAATCAAGATACATATTTAAGGGCCGGTTACTCAATGTCTGGTTAACACTAATCGGAGGTTAAACATAGTTATCGACGTTACCGAATCCCTGTTGTATGCATGGAGTCGAAGACGTCGATAATAGTGCTGCAAAAACATCTGGGGTGTTCACAGTTCGTTCCAAATAGTGTCTCAAAATGTAGACGTCTACATTTTAAGACGTTTTCCAACCGTAAAATCTGTGGTGTTGTTGTTTCCCATACAAAATTGGAAAACGACGCCGTCTACATTTTGTCAC